GTTCCAGCAGTGGCTCGGTTGTGGTTGGGTTGGATGTGAACGTTGGGGGTCCTGGCTAAGGCCCATGGCCCCATCCCACCCTGGCTCACAAACCAATGGGGATTCCAGCAGTGGGTGGGTTGTCCCTGGGCTCAGCCTCTTTCTTTAAAGAGAAAATTGCTCAAAGTCCTCTGGAAAGTATGAGGGTTTTCCAGACTGGACGAGTTCATGTCTTAGGACAAAAATGTGAAGTCACTTGTTGATTTAGTGCTAGATTACAGTCATGGAGTGCTAGAAAGATCTCAGAGGCTCAGATCTTTATGGATAAGATGTATTACTTAGATCTACGGGCAGCTGTGCTAGAGAACAGTCACTTGTTGATTTAGATAATGAATTTTCATGTTATTAGAAGACAGGGAAATACACAGGATCTCAAAGAGACTGGGGTTCTGGGACTTATTAGCTGTACTTTTAGGTAATTTATTTAACCTTCTCTAAGCTTCAGTTTCATCAAATCTAGACTAGGGATGATACCTCCTCTGCAAGGTTGGTATGAGAATTAGCAGTTTTGTAGGTAGGTACCCAGATTTGTAGATGTACCAGGACATAGTAGGTGTTAATAAACTATATATATGTTTGAATAAACTATACATATACCTTTAAAACTATACATATATTTGAATGTCATTTAGGTAGACTCTTTAATATAAGATGCTGTATTTTCAAACTATACTTGTAAAGTCAGTGTTGATAAGCCCTCCTATCCACAAAACAAATTGTTATGTATGAAATTCCCTTTCCCCTAAATCATGTGCCTGTCAACCCTTCCACTTCAGTCCATCTCTGGATGTTGAGGCCCTGGTCCCTGGCCTACAGGAGAAACCAAGGTGCTCTGAGGCCCCTGTAAGAGAGACCCCGTCCGTATTTGCATTAGAGAAATCATGGAGGCTATGGGAAAGTGTCCTCCTCCCCAGCTTCTGCAGGCACTAGTTCCATCCCACTACCAGGTGAAAAAAGATGTGGAAGCCTTGTAAGTAGGTGGCTTCTGCCACCTCAGAAGTGTGAAGAAATGAAAACCCATCAAAACAGAACACCATTCCATGTTTCAGGCTCTTACCTCATCTCAAATCAAATGTCTGTTCTCTATTAATTGGTCTTGTAAAAAGATGCACACTTTACCTTGGTTTTAGAATATTCTGTTGTTACCCACTTTCCTTTTAATGCACACACACTAGTTTCAAGAAATCCTGCTAATAACTCTGTCCTGACATGCCACAGAACTTTAATTTGGTCATCTTTTACCTTATTGTACTAACAATAGAGGAACATCATCTTATCAACATCAACTATTTTATGAAAGGACTTGAAGCAGTAATTCATGCAGAATTCTCTTCAATAATGGTTTTCAACCAGCAAAGTGCTCTTTGCTGTTTATAAATTCTTCCCAGATGATTCTGAACGGAGAGCTGAGAACCACTGCCCTAGGCTGTAATGACCCAGTCAACTGAATTTTACTCAATGCCTACCTTCAAGTAAATAATGCTTAACTCATACATCATTTCTAAAATGACTCAGACTTTTTCCTTAGTTTCTACAATGCATTTTTGAAAAATTCTGGAAAAAGTTTATTCTTACAAATGAAAATATGACAATACCTGTAACTGGGAAGCCACCAAAAAAAGAAAAAGAAAATATGAAATCTCAAGTGGATAAACTTTTAAGACATACCTTTCAAAACTTGAGTAAAAAGTTTTTGTCTTCACTTGTTTAGCCTCCTCTGTTCCATAAAAGGCCATGCTGAAAGGCTATTTCAGTTACTCTTCTATGAAAAAATCCTGTTCCAATAAGCTAAATGAGAACTACTGTGAACACAATGAACCTAGTATGCTAGATGTTAAGTGTGTTGCTACCCCATCTTCACCTCAAAGTGAAACTGCTCACATAACTCTTCTTAGCTCCACGTAAACCTACTAACACAAGTAAATGGGCCAGGGTAGGCTCCTGACCCAAAAACAGCCAATCCTGAAACTGCACTGAGACAAATGAGAGCTGGTATATAAGGTAAGCTGGCCCAGTCAGATCACTTGGCAATTAGGGACTGGAGACAGGAGCTGAGGTTCATGGTGTAGAAAAGAACCTCAAAGGTACAAGCTAAAGTTATCATGAGGGAACAGAAACTGTCAGTAAGCAAAAGCTATGAATCAGAGTTGATGAGTAGAAAAAGAATGGAGTTAACAGCGTATGAAGAACAAGTCGCACGCATGGCAGAGCCCAAGCCTTGTTAAGATCCACCATCTCCTGCTGAGGATCACCATCCAATTTCTACTGTTCCTGAGGCCTGGGGGTGACTTCTGAGGGGGAGATAGGGCTGGTGAGGTGGTTCCTGACTTCTAAGGCACGTATCCTTAAAATAATGTCACACTGCTTGAGCTAACTTGCTAGATTCAGAGTCTTTTTATGTTTGTCCTAATTTGAGATTGCCTGCAACTAAATAAGCCTAATTGGAACAAGTAGTTAAACCACTGTCATTTGTTAAAAATAATACATGATATTAAACTTCTATTTTTCTAAACAAATCTGGGAATGCTTAATCCATTAAGTTTTAAAATTTTCATAAGTTTAATGTTGGTATTGTATGTTTACATATCAGGTAGTACAATTTACATCAAATTTTATATTTAATCATTTTTGCAAAGACATCATGTACACAAAGATACATATTCAATAACTGGGAAATCATAAAACTTCTGATCTATACTTTCAGGTTTGTTCGATCATGATACTTCTGATAAGGATCAGCAGCATACCAGTTTCGCCTCTTCCAGAAAGACGTCGTCATTTTATCTAAGAGTTTACTCTGGGTTTTATTGCAGAAAACAAATTCTCTCAAGCGTCTTTTTCTTGCAGCCGTCTTTTTCCATAATTTTTTCTTATAACCAGCCTGTCATATAATATTAGAAAGATATTTAAAATATTATATTGTGTAGAAAGATATCTTCACAACTCATGATTTATAGTCCCAATGGGAATAAAAAACAGACTTCCATAGCTAAGTTTTTTGGAAAGATGTGATTCTCAATGGGGGGTGGGCAGAGAAAGCATGTGTAGTTTGACAAAAAAATAGTAAATAATTTAATATTCTGAAAAATTTAATATTCTAATTTAATAAATTAGAATGACAGGAAATAAAGCTAAATAAATTTGTATGGCTGGTGAAGTACAAGTTAATGATATATAATTATAATAGCTAACTTTATATGCATTATCTTATTTATCTCTTCAGCAATCTTCAATAATATACTATTACTCTCATTTTACAGATTAAAAGAAACAACCTTAATTAGAGAAGTTAGCAGACTAAGGTCTGAGTGCTAACAACTACATTGTACTATCTTTCCTACTGTGAAAGATGATGAAGGGAATACTGGCTAGGGTGATAACATGTTCATTTAAGGGGCTGAGTGTTACAAGGGCTGAGAATCAGTTCTTAAATAGATTGCTTCATTTATTCTTTTCACACCCTAGGGACCAATTTTTATAGGAATTACTTTTTTAAAGAATAGTGAATACAGTGAAACTACTATTAGGAGTGGTGAAGGAATGGTTAACCCATATATTTAACCCAGAACTTCCATATATACCATCCATGCATTATTGATTTTGAAGAATTTATTTTTAGAGGAATAGAAAATTAGATTGAATAATAAAAACTATAATCACAGTCTGTTTAAACTAGAAGAGACTGTAGGTGGCGCCCAGGTTAACCACCACAGAGTAAGTTATAAGGAGGTGAGAGTAAGTACTAAGCTATTGGTAAGAGCCCTTGGGTTGTTTCAAACCACAGGCTCTTTATGGCACTACACCAACTAAACAAAACCATGGCTTTTCATTCAGAAGGTGCCTTGGAGTTTGACATGTCTTAGTGTCATCATTGTGACCAGCAACTTCTCTACTACGATGATGCTCAGAAATGAGGGAAGGTTATTTAAGAGTTCTGATTTTAAAATGCCAGAGATTAGATTTGTACTCATTGCTTACAATTTGAAATTCAAAGATTCAAACCAAGGGCTGGCCCGTGGCTCACTCGGGAGAGTGCGGTGCTGATAGCACCAAGGCCACGGGTTCGGATCCCATATAGGGATGGCAGGTTCGCTCACTGGCTGAGCGTGGTGCTGACAACACCGAGACAAGGGTTAAGATCGCCTTACCGGTCATCTTTAAAAAAAAAAAAAAAAAAGATTCAAACCAAAATCCCCACATTTGTGTAATATTTTTTTTTTTTTTTTTTTTTTTTAAAGATGACCGGTAAGGCGATCTTAACCCTTGACTCGGTGTTGTCAGCACCACGCTCAGCCAGTGAGTGAACCGGCCATCCCTATGTGGGATCCAAACCCGGGGCCTTGGTGTTATTAGCACCGCACTCTACCGAGTGAGCCACGGGCCAGCCCATTGTGTAATAATTTTCTGCCAAATTAGGTCCTTGTGGATCTCTGACTTAGACATCTAATCTCCTGTCCTGCTCATCACCACCAGTATCCTTTAAAGATTACTCTGTGAAATGGAACCACTATAAAAATGCTTGAAACTTTTTAGACACTCTAGGTTCAGAAATGGAAGGAGGGAATAAACAATAAAAATTAAGAACACCTGGATGAAACTGTGCCACAGAAAATACTTTGTTTTTATACATTAGTATAAATTAACCCACCCAGATTTTTTGTTTTCCTCTTAAAATTAGATTTTGATGAAGCAGACTGTTCTGCACATGCGGCCCTGAGCTGGGGCTAGATATTACGACTAGAGTTTGATTAGATCCTTTATGGTAGGTAACATGAGGGTTCCAGGACCCAATAAAAGGAACATGGAAAGGAAGGCAAAGAAAACCACCCACTTCATTTTATCTAGGGCCAAACGAGAATCTGGAAATAACTGATATGATAATAAAGGGGAGGAAATGTTTCCAATGGTCCAGAATTCACAAAACTCAGAACTGTCAGAACTTTAGCTATTTATGGATTACATGAACGCCTGTTGACTGTTGTGGGAAATGAATTACCACAATATTGTTTCAGTGTAGAACTGAGCTGAGAGTTCCAATCAACCCATTTACCTACAAATTTAGGATTGTTTATACTCCTTTCAACCTTTTGAATATTAAGAAAGTTCAACCAACTTATTTTTACAGGAAGCTAAATTTTTATCTTTAAAGAATATTTGTTAACTTCCAAAGAGTAAAGGGAATTAGTACTTAAACAGTTATTAAAACTCAAAGGTGGTTTTGGAAAACTCTGGTCTTAAGCTGCTTTCTAATTATTAGCCACCATTTCCTTGAATAAGGATGTGAATTAAAAAGCCAACATTTACACTCAGGACACACTGTGGGAAAGGATAAAGCAATAAAAATTTTTCAGAGTCAAACTTAGAGGCTGTGGTCCCTAGCCAGAATAATTAAGAGTTCTGTCTGAGATGGTTCCCAATCACACATACCAACAGACAGAAACATTTGTTAAGTAAAAAAACAAAAAAAAAGCGTATGTGGGGTTAATATTCTGCCATAAAGATTAAGCCAGGGCTGGCCAGTTAGCTCAGTTGGTTAGAGTGCAGTGCTGTAACACCAAGGTGAAGATTAAGCCACTTGGAGAATCCAATCCAAGGTAGGCTGAAATGCTCTTCAGTTGCCAAATCTGAGCCATGTGACTAAGGCCATGATGAAGTGTACTGTGCTATTTTAACTTAACTGTTTAGGCTTAAATAGAGGCTCTAACTGGATGGTCAGCTCAGGTGGTTAGAGCATGGTGCTGATAACATCAAGGTCCAGGGTTCAATTCCTGTGGCCAGCCACAAAATAAACCACCAAAATACAAACTAAACAAAACAAAAAAACAGAGCCTCTAAATAGGTTATTAAACTTACGGAGTTTCAAGGGCTTCTGGTAATCACTAGTTAAGCCAGGTATGTTACAAGACTTGATGTGAGCCTGTCTGATAGTGAAGACATTTGCCATTGTAAATAATATTTTGTTTGTTTTATGAATGCTTACACATTTTCTTCACGTGAATTCGTTTACACAGAGAGATGCCTGCCAAGCTGGTACTTAGGCGCAGCACTGTAAGGGCTATTGGTAAGATGGGGGGGAAGATGTGTCAATGAACAGGCTAACTGAATTCTGCTCATTTTAATTTCCTGCTCACACTTCTTCTTCAATCAAGCAACAGTGTGAAGACTTACCTTTCTCCTTAGCCAAAGGCCAGAATGAAGTCGAAGAAACCTATAGATGACAGCTTTCACAGTCTTTCTCTTGCCTTTTCGTGTACTGAAGTATGTTACATTTCTGACTGGTAGCTTCAGGACATTTGGAAGCATGGGGACCACTCTAAAATATATTTAAAATTTTTTAACTCAGCAATCAGACTGATTAAAAGATAAAACCTACTTCTATACTTAGAAATAGATGGAAGCAGCTCTACTGGAATAGAGCCAATTTTTAATCTACAATGTTACTTCAAATGATCCATGACACTAAGCATAAATAAGAATAGGAACGATCACCAACTTGCAAGTGTTCTACAATCCACCCCCTCAATTTCTTTTTTTTTTTTTTGTATTTTGTCTTTTTCCGTGTCCGGCAACGGATCGCAACCCTCAGTGTTGCCCCCGTACCGGACCGGGGACCGGCAACGGGATTGCAACCCTCGGTGTTGCTCCCGCGCCTCGCTCAGCCAGTGAGCGGGAACCGGTCTGTATGTGGGATCCGAACCCTCGGGTGGGAGCGCCGCCGCGCTTCCCAAGAGGCGCACTTATCCAGTGCGCCACCGGGCCGGCCCCCACCCCCTCAATTTCTATGAAAGAATTTATCCTATTATATTTTAGGCACCCCATCACCCCCTCAGACTGTAAACTCCTTGAAGACTTCAACTTGTCTTTGTGTCCTCTCTGCCAAGTATAGTGCTGGGCACCCAGGAGTGCTTACCTGAATATTTGCTGACTGAACAACCACCATACATAGCCCAGCCTTGTAAGCTGAGCATCTAGTTCACCTTCTACTCTGGCTGATAGCTTTCATCCAAGAAACCCCATAAGTGTGTTCTGTTTGGTAGTCCCTGCTGCTGGCAATGCAAGTATATGCATGTCAATCATATTCTCCTGCTTGGTCAGGCAAGGTCTGTATAATAAACTGCAGGTAGGTAAAGAGTCCCATCCAATTCTTTTTTGTTTTGTTTTGATAAAAATAATTCCACAGCATTTATTGTCATCTGGTAAGAATATAAGGGAACTATAGTCCCAACAAAGGATGCCTAAAAAAACAAACTATATTGCCTTCTCAACAATTTCTCACTTTATTGATCATTTCTAGTTAGACACTTTGTAGCAGAGTAACATTATCTTCTTTTAGCATTATCCAACCCAGTTGTTTTCTTGACTTTGTTTTACAATGAATTTCTTCTGCATCATCTAATATGAGGTTCACATACTCATTTAAACCAATGATACTTCCCTCTATCTATATATTCACTTGCTCACAGAGCCACACCTGAATCCAGGACCTATTTTGCAAGTAACTGAGGATGAGGCTGATGGGCTGCACCATCACCTTCAGTACATTTTGGCCCTGGCCATGGTATGCCATGGTAGAATCTCACGAAGACCACACTGACCCGCACACTACTGCAGAAAGCAACTTCTCATCCAAGTCTAAGAGGTCTTTGCAGGCATAAAAATTTTAGAAATTTTGTCTAAGCATGTTTACTGAAATATACTCTACCTATTAAAGATCGTTTCAGTATGCCCAAATGTCAGGTGACTAACAGACGTGAGAAGTCTGGGAGCAGAAGAAACAAGTGGTGTCTGAATATGACTAAAATGTCGGACGGACAATGCAGAAATAAGACAGACATTTTTGGCACAGTTTTGATAGGCTGAAGATGCCAAAATATTCAGGGGCCGTAAGATTCCTGTAAAGATAGAGAGAGGTATACATACTTAATATGACACTCCAAAATATGCATCCAGATATTTAAAATTAATATATCAAAGCAACCAAGTATTATATACATAATTAATGTGTCCTAACCAGACTCACCTGTGAAACTTTTTACCAACTTTATTGAGGTATAACTTACATACCATAAAATTACCCATTTTATGTATACAATTTAATGATTTTTAGAAAATTCAGAGAGCTCTGCAATCATAATCACAATCCAGTCTGATGTGTCTTAGCTCTGTCTAGTACTAGGGAACAATATACATACGTAACATTAATTCCCACTTCCCAGATCTTATACACAGAACTCTCACACACAGTGCAATGGCAGGTCAGACGCACGAAAGCTTGGTTCCTTCCTGGAGAGATGACAGAGTGGCAAGAGAGGCATACATGAAGAAAACAAGAGGCACCTGAGTTCTCCTCTAGACAATGAATAAGCCCTTAGAGGAGGAGGAACACATTTCAGGTAGGATGAACAACATAAGCAAAGGCATGGGGGTTGAAACAAACACTGTACATGTATGGTTTGGGGACCAGAACTGCCACAGACACTGAGCACTACTTGCCTGACTGTATCAGAGATGCCTGGGGAGATGTAGTGGGAAATGAGGCAGGAAGCAGTGGGAAACGAAGGCAGATTTCAGACGCCACAGATGAGTGGAGTGGACGCAGCCCTCTTTATCAATCCTTCCCACTATGGCCAGACTAATAGTTCATGGCTGCAAATTACAATCACTTATGGAGCTCTGACTCTATTCAGGAGTTCTGACTGAGTCCCTAAAGTGGAACGTGGTGATACTAAATTTACTAAAAATTTAGTAAAAGCTTGCTAAATTTACTAAAAATCATCAAATTGTACATATAAAATGGGTAATTGTATGGCATGTAAATTCTACCTCAATAAAATTAGTATTAAAAAAAGGTCCACCTGAGTCTGATGCTCAGCCAGGATTTAGAACTACTGTCCTATTGTCCAATGCACTGATTTCACCTAACAAATGAGGGGTAGTATGGTGTAGAAGTGAAGTGCTAGTAGGGTTTGAATCAGCTGTGTGACCACGGGCAAGTTACTTAACCTCTCTGTACCCCAGTTTCCTCAAATTTCAATGAGGTTAATTATGGAGAGGTAATGAGAATTAAATGAGATAAAACATGTAAAGTGCTTGGCCCAGAGAAACATTTAATGAGTGCTAATAGCAGACAATAAAGGAGAGCTGAGGAATGCTTAGCAATGAGAGTACATGTTAACATGTGGCAGAATGAAGACAGAACAATTAAAAGCCTTATTTTTGTCTTTCTCTTCTCCATCAAAGATACCAATTTTCAAACTGAAAAGGGTAGCATAAACATTAGCAAGTTAGTTGAATCCAAGATTTAGGAAACTGGTGAGAGAGCCCTTATATCTGGCCCTGAGAAATCAAATTCTGTACCCAATGCAGGAATTCAAGTCTCTGGGTATAAATAATTTATATCTCAAAGAGCTGAAAAGATTTGCAAAGGGGATTACAAGCTAGGAAGTAATCTTTGAAAGATTAAATGAATTGAAGAGGAGGATTGTAGAAAAGAAAATGTCCCAATTTTCACAGATCACCAGCTAAGTCAGTGTTCTTCAGTGCCGGCTCGCCCCCCTCCCTCTGTCCCTCCCTCCGTCCCCCACTCCTTCCTATTTTGGTCTTCTCTATTTTCCCGAGAGGATAAATGAGAGCCTCTCACAGGCACACACAGTCTTTCATGACATGGTCTCACTTATACTGTAACCCCTGCCCTGGATCTTGCACCCCTCTTCTTGCCCTGGGAGGCGCATCTCCGATCGACAACCTCAACTTCTGCTGCCCTGTCCTCCTGCACCTGAAGCACCTGCCGTGGTCACCGCTGCTTTCTTTTCTCTCCTCTCTGGACTCCGTCCCCCACTGAGCTAACCGGCCATCCCTATATGGGATCCGAACCCGGGGCCTTGGTGTTATCAGCACCACTCTCCCGAGTGAGCCACGGGCCGGCCCAGATTATCAGCTCTTGATGTGTCTGTTAAAAAACAAACAAAAACAAACTCCCAGAAATTCTTGGAAACCACCACTGGATGAATTGACCAGACAGACTCTGGAACATATAAATGGGTAAACGACAGGCTCATCTATAGAAAACAATGTTAGAAGAGATAATAAATAGGAAGGTCACAACAAAAACAAAAACGATTGTCAACTACACTAGGTGTCAGTTGTTTCTTAAAAAGAACTAATTTTGTTTCTTTTTTTTTTATACAGCCATAAGCCTGGGGAATCAGTGGAATGTCCTAGACATACTGTATCCTGACTTTAGGAAAGTCTGAAAAAAGTTTCTTCATATTCTAAAGAATACAGAAATGTGGGCAGGATAATAGAACAGTTAAGTAAATTTCAAGCCGGCTGGAAACTATCCCCAAAGTAGTCGATTGCTGTTCGCCTGGTGAAAAGTCTCTTCCTGGCTCCCTAATGGACTCTGTTTTGTTCCCAATTTTTGTGATGGTCCCGAAGTTTAATAAAACATGTTTATGAATCTGCATAAAAAACAAGCTGGTGGCCGGTTAGCTCAGTTAGTTAGAGCGTGGTGCTGATAATACCAAGGTCCAGGATTTGATCCCTATACCAGCCACCCCCCCATCCCCCACCAAAAACAAGTTTGTATCGATGTCTTGTTAATATATTTGGAAAAGAAAGAGAATTTCAGAACTGCAAGTGATTTCAGTAAGAGAGAAAAACAGATCAAAACCATCACTAAAGTTAGAAAAAAACAGAACTTGAAGGGCGAAATTGGCTTGAGAGCAGTTCATGAGAAAATGACTTGTGGGAGCTTTATCTACCACAACTTCCAGTGGACCAACCATGTGATTTAGTTTGTCAAACCTAGCTGACTTAAACTGTTAACAAAAGTACACTATACAAATCAAAGGAAGTAACTATTCCTTCAGTCCCTTGCCTGGTTTGGGCATCTTCATACAGACAGGCCATCTCTAAACACCCTCTTGTATGAGGTAACACAAAACCAGAGTTTTGAAGGAATAAGAGGAGGCAGAGGGAATAGGAGATGCAAAAGTGAAGAAGCAAAATCGCTATAGTAATTTGGGAGATTACAAATAGCCCTGTGTGGTATGAATCACAGCAGTGGTGGCTAAAAGCTGCACTGGGTAGTGGTAAAGTGAGTGTAACAGAATCTAAACCAATGGTCTTTATACTTTTTTGATCCCATACCCCCTAAAAGAATTTTGAAAAATTATGTACCCTTTCATAAATTCTTAAATAATGCCTAAAATATTAAACGGTTCAAATTGTTTTTAAAAAAGGATGTAATTTCCAGTATATTTGGAATACTGACATTTAGGGCTGGCCAGAGAGCTTACTTGGGAAGGCATGGTGCTGATAACACCCAGGTTAAGGGCTCAGAACCCCATACTGGCCAGCTGCCAAACATAAATAAATAAATAAATAAAAATAAGTTGTCACATCATTCTTTTAAATTTTTTCAATAGAATCTAAATATCAAAGGGAGCTGATACCCCCCTACATTATCTATTAAAAAATACAAGGACTATAAATTCAAATAGATGAATATAAGAACTTCTTTTCATCAAAGGATACTTCAAATAAAGTAAAAAAGACAAGCCAGAATGGGAGAAGATATTGGACCCACAAAAATGAAAAAGGACACATATCCAGAATATATAAAGAACTACATAAATAAGACAAACAACCCAGTAGAAAGACGGGCAAAATATTTAAGTGGATATTTCATAAAAGAAATTCAGGGGCTGGCCCGTGGCTCACTCGGGAGAATGTGGTGCTGATAACACCAAGGCCACGGGTTTGGATCCCATATACGGATGGCCGGTTTGCTCACTGGGTGAGCGTGGTGCTGACAACACCAAGTCAAGGGTTAAGACCCCCTTACCGGTCATCTTTTAAAAAAAAAAAAAAAAAGAAATTCAAAAGGCCAATACATATATGTAAACATATTAAGGCTCATTACTAGTTAGCAAAACGCATATTTAAACCTCAATGAGATACCACTACATAGCCACCAGATTTAGAATTTGTGGGTCTGACAATACCAAGTATGGCTGATCCAGCAATTCCACAGCTAGTTTTACACACACACACACACACACACACACACTTTAGAAATACTCTTGCACTCATGCACCAGGATACAAGGTAAATCAACTTTGTACATAATTGCTCCCAAACTGGAAACACCCAGATACACACCAATAGTAGAATGGAGAATTGTAGAATAGTCACATAAGAGAATATTATATATCGATGAAAAAGCATTAACAGCTACATGCAAAATGAATGAATCTCACAAAGTGAAAGAAGCCAGACACTAAAGAGTATATACTGCATGATTCCATTCATGTGAAGGTCAAAACCACGCAAAACTAAACGATATGTTATTGAGAGATACACACACAGATTCTAAAATTACTACAGGAAAAAAAGGCAAAGTAATAATTATAAAAATGAAAACAGTCTTTATATTTGGGGGAAGCAGGGAATTCTGATTGGGGAGATGCACAGAGAAGGACCTTCTGGTAGTGCTCTATGTCTTGACCTAAGTGTTACACGGGTAACGTTACAGCTGTTAAATCATTCATGCATGTTATGTAAATCTTTCTTTATATGTATTATATTTCACGCGCACACACACAAAATACCCCACGTAAAACAGTTGGAAAAATTTACACCGTTGCTCTTTTTTTCTTAATCATCCTACCGTATTTGAATGATTTTTTACTTTGTGCAACAAGTCCTTAGAGTGACGGCAACTTAATTTTTTTAGCTGCCTTCACACCTCTAATTTCTGTCAAAAAACCCTTATGCCCACCCTTGTGCTAGGGGCTGTAGTTCCACACTCGCTGATAGCGTTGTGTCAGACTCTGAACCTCAAAGCTAACTATGTGCCAGGCACTACGCAAAACGCTTTACACGCACGAGCTCATTTAATACCCAGGTAGGTGGCACTATGCCCATTTTACAGCTGTGTAAAGTTCAGAGAAACTAACTCTCGAGGTCAAAGGTCGTGAGTGGCGGGTGTAGCCTCTACCTCAGAAAATTAGGTGGCAATTTTTGTGTTTCTCTCTTCCCCCTTCTCCCCAGTCTCTCTGGTTTGTTTTCCACAGGAAAAAGGCCGGCAAGGAAACGCAAAACGTGGGCCCCGCAGGCCCGCGCGGGAGGGAGTCGGGGACCCCAGCGGGGGCTGCCGGCCACACCAGCCCAAGAAAATTCGGAGCAACCTTGTGACCTCAAATAATGACCCTTTTTTCCGGTTAACCTCCGCTCTAAACGCCCACTCCATCTCACGCCAGTTCTCCCTTTTGTGAAGATAAATAGAGCACGTCGCTCTCCACCGACCTGAAGCTGCTCTCACGGTACGGACTAAAGCAGAGGCCGCCATCTTGCCACCCTCACCTACGGCGCCCGCATTGGGTCGAAAAGCACCGGAACAAAAGGGACTAAAGGAAAAGCAACCGGGGCGGAGTCAAGGAAAAGAAAAAAAAAGAATAAAGGAGTGGTCAACTCAATCTTTATTGAATGAATATCGTGCCCCAGGTTCTGTCCTTTGCCGCTGTAAAACAACTGCCTATCGAACAGTGCCGGGCATATAGAAGGCTCTCAAAAGAATTTTTTTGAGCTTGTAATTAAAAGATCTATTTAAAGTACACGACATACTAGAAACAATTTCTTTTTGCTTTCTTTGTTAAATTTATTTTAGAGAATAATACTTGTTATCCTTCCAAAATTGGAAGATGTTAGATAAATGAATGAAAACAATAGCAAAAATCATTTGGTAAAAAATCGCATGCCAACTATAATCAAATGAATGTATTTTTAAAAATCAAGGCCGAGGGCCAGGCCGTGGCTCACTCGGTAGAGTGCGGTGCTGATAACACCAAGGCCACGGGTTCGGATCCTATATAGGGATGGCCGGTTTGCTCACTGGCTGAGCGTGGTGCTGACAACACCAAGCCAAGGGTTGACATCCCCTTACCGGTCATCTTTTAAAAAAAAAATCAAGGCCGGCCCGTGGCTCACTTGGTAGAGTGTGGTGCTGATAATACCAAGGCCACGGGTTCGGATCCTATATAGGGATGGCCGGTTTGCTCACTGGCTGAGCATGGTGCTGACAACACCAAGCCAAGGGTTGAGATCCCCTTACTGGTCATCTTTTAAAAAAAAAAAATCAATAACACTGTCATTTGGTAGAATAGCATCTCAACTCTTCCCTGAACAATTCAACAGTTCTTATTTTATTTCCAAAAATTAGTGATTATACATATCTTTTTCTGATGTTTATTCAGACAACACACACACACCCAAAGCTCTCTTCCATGCTATTGACTAAGATCTCTTCTGTAAGGAATATCCAGAGGTATTCCATGCATAGACAATATACAACATTTACAGGTTGAAATGGGTAAGAGTCAAACACCTGGTCTCAAGGAGTTCACATTTAATAAGCAGACAAGCACAGAACATAAATAAGATGAAGCGGATTAATGACTCATTGGGGTAGTTGAAAGTTATGAACAGCAGCAGGCTTCTGGTTGGAATGACCAGGGACCAGAAGGTAGACTATAAGATGGATGTTAAACAATGGGGAGGATTTCAACAAGGGCAATGTAAGGCCCCATAGAAGACCCCAAAGGAGGCACTCCCTAAAACATGGCGCTTTTCTCTTCCGGGTCCTAACAATCTTGCCGGCGCCAAGGTGCAGCCTATCAGAAATCATTACCCACCCCCGGCCAATCAACTACCGCCCGTGTACTAACCACCCTCTCCCGGAACCCGGCTCTATATAAATGTATGCTTCTCCCCCGAATAAAGCGGAACCTCTCCGGTGAACTGTCAGCTCGGGTCCTGTTGTCCTTTCATTGGTGCCGAAACCCGGGAGGAGCTCACCCCTTACCCAAGGGGACTCCTTCTCGGACCTCCTTCACTCTCTCGGCGGTTCCCGCTGCTGACGCTTCGCCCTCGTCTGTTTTCTCCGGCGCTGGCTCTCCGCACCCACCACCTGCTCACCTAAACTTAAGTCTCTCTCCGGGGGTGCCATCTTAGGCTGGGCTACCGTAATCATCTGGTATCCCTCTGACACCCGGCCCTAGGACAGAGAATACACCCCACCACAGCCTTCAGGGCACTGGGCAGGCCCCTAGGTATTCTCTCGTCACATTAGGCAATCCACATTCCCCTCCTTTCCCAGTCCAATTAGAGGCGACCTCTGCAGGGTGAAGCTCCCATTCTCTCGCTTTTTTCCTTCAATCTGGTATTTCTGTTTCTCCGAGCCCAGGGCTCCCGAAAATCCCGGCACCGGGTTCCTTCGAGCCTCCGGGCACTCACCCTCGCCGAGGTGACAGAGGGTAAAGTGACGACTTCTATCCTCCTCCCTCCCGGTTCGTCTCCGAACCTCCGGGACTGACAGAATATAGGTGGGGACGCCCTCTTTATTTGTGTCTTTCCCTCCCTCCGGCTGAAGGAATTTTTCCCTTCTCCACCTCCTTGTCTTTCACTCTCCTTCCTGCTTTAACATGAGAGCTTCCCCCTCATCACCTGTAGCAGATTCTCCCCTCCAATGCCTTATAAAAAACCTAAAAACCTTGTCTTTAGAGCCTGATATCAAGCCCAAGCTCCTTATAAAATTTTGCACACAAGATTGGACCAATTAGATAATCAAAACAGATGGCCACTGG